TTTTGTATTATTTTTTTGGTCTCGTTCAATCAACACCACATCAATTTTCAATTTTTTTTTAATTCTCCTCTTCTGTAGGATTTCACACGTGAGTGGAATTCTATAGAAGACGAGATATCTATCTTCTTGCAACATACGCTTTTCAGCCTATGATGTAAAAGTAATATTTTCCAATATGAAATTCTTGAAGTGAAAAAAAATCTTAATCGAAGGCAAGCTCGATGATTCATATCGAGAAATCTTGATCATAATCGAAAGGTTCCCTATTATAATACAAAGTACAATTCGAGATCATATTTTGTACATCGCATTCAACTACAAAGGTTCCCTAAAATTGTGTAGAATGAAGTCGTAAATAATTGTGTAGAGTAAAATGTAAAATTGAAAATTGCGCGTGTATGCGCCTCGAACAACGATTTTGTGTATAACAACGTATATCTACGATTGACAATTTCCAGAGATCATATCAAACAAGTCTCGAATGAATTAGAATGAAAAATAAAAATTCAATAATGATGGAACGTATCCTACATATTCGACATACATAGATTACTTGCTTAGCCCTAAGATTGACGTTTTCGTCAATGGAGGGAAATTAACACTAACGCACAAGTTCGTTTGTTGCAAGCAAAATTATATAAAAATAGTAATAATATAATATGTTGCATAAAGTTATCTGAGAAAGCGTGCCAATTAAATTGTTCTAAATTTTTTGAAGTACAAAATATTAAAATTTAAATAAATCGCAAAACGATTCCTGTAATTATCAATTTTTTGGTGGTGACATAATAAACTATTAAGATATAATATCGATTATTAATATTTTTCGATTCGACAATACAGATTAATACTTAATTAAGCGTAGTCTTCCAGGAGATCACATTTGATCCGTATCCATAGTTATCACTCGAACCAAAGGGTAGTCGTAATCATACCTATTGTCCACTGACAATTGGTGTGGTTCGATACCATCGAGTGATAACTATGGATATAGTTCACGATTCTCTATAAGCAATAGTATGTCAATACTACAGCGAATTAATTGACTCTTGAAAGATGAAGAAACGACAATACTAGAAACAGCAATATGTCGCCACTTCTAATTCGCGAATTAATAGCGAAAAATTAAAAAAACAGAACCGAATCTATCATATCCACTTTCATCATTGGAGTACTCTTCTAATCATCACACGAAGAAATCAATTACATGACAAATTTAATAAAATCCAATAAGATCCAATAAGAATCTTGCAACTCATTCGATTCATACATCATCATCCCTTAGGGCTTTGCAAGTCTCTGAATTCAATTTGTGATAACAAAGGATAACGATCAAGTTGTACGATTTTGTTTTCGCATGTTTATTGAAACATCCGAAAAGATTGCCGGAGTAATTTTAATATCTTGCCAACCTGGAAGTTGTTCTTATTGTCGAGTTGAATCGTGCTGGATCCGCTCGAGGGTTGACATGCCACATTTCTCCACGGATGATAGTACCTATCGCGAAATATCGAGCGTAGAGGTCTATCGAAGCTGATATCGGAAAACCGTGATAACAAGTCGTCTCGATTCAGTCCTCTGCCGAAGTGTTGGTCCATCAATCGGGACACCGGTCGTTCGAAATCGTCCCACCAATCGCGAAATATCAGAGGCACGACTGACATCTGAAACAATTTAAGTATAAAAAAAAGAAAAAAAAACTGTGAATATCGGTCAGTTCTTACTTTTCGATTCTTTTCAATAAGACGTATAGTAGATCGATAAAAATTACGAAAAAGAATGAGGGAAAGGAAGATGGAGACGTTATGTTAGGTATTACCTAGTTAAACGTATACTTACCACGATTTATAACACGCGAATGGAAGTTTGACAAATTAAAAGCTAAGCTGTAAGCAATTTTTACTTAGGAACGTGCTAAGGAGATTCTTTTGAGCTTAAAACCTAATCTAAATCAATTCGCACGCCTGTCGTTACAGCTATAAAGAACACGATTTAAATTTACCTTGAACAACAGTTGCAATTAGTAATAATCTTGATAATGAAACGCAAAACATATATACATGACGTAATTCGAAGATTAGGGACTTCACTTTTATCGCGAGTCTTTTAATAATAATGCAAGGATAAGCGAAAGAGATGTTCCGCGATAATATAAAAAAAAATGATCTCGAAGAAAATTCACTCAAAATATCATGAAAATTGTTGCTGTAATCGCGGATTAGTGTAAGATATCTCGATTTGAATACAACAAATAACAACATTGTTGTTCGATTGTATACACGTATCCTCAAGACCATCTTCGCCACGAATATATTATTATATAATTAGATCTTACTCGAACGCACAGCAAGTGAATATATAAGTATAGATTCGTAGCAATTTGATCCGAATTTTCTTCGCACGCGATAATCGATAATTCGTACCTTAATACCGAAAAGGGATAGGGACAAACCGGACACAATTATCTCTCGTCGTGCACGCGTTATAATTCAATATTCACACTAGATATTAACATATACTTAACATATTCGAGCACGATACAATAAATCACGAGATTAAGATACATTTGATTAACAATCAAAATAACATTCAAGATAATTCGAAATTTTTCAATCAGATATCAAGGTCGAGCGGGAAATTCATTGAGGGAACACATCGCGCATTTAAAAATCATTTTCAAACAAAAAAATATATTCGTGACATCGAAAATGACGAATTTTCTCAGTTAGGACTCGAATAGTAGATTTTATGCGAATACCATCCGTGAATAAGATTTTTTGTTTAGAATTTAAAAAATAATTGCGTGATGAATTTTTTTTTTTTATGAAAGGAAAAAGACATTGATATATTTCTACAGGGAGAAATGAGTGCGCATTTGCTAAGAATTGCGCATTGTTTAATCATTTTAGGGAGAAAACAAAAAAAGAAATAAGAACACGTTATTGCATTTCCATCGAATTATACGTATAATATAATACGAAATGTAATTAATTATACGCATAATGTAATACGCTTTAGATTACGTAAAGTAAAAACCTAGATATTTAGGGAATGAAAGAAGAAAAACGATACAAATAAAATCGTTTTTAAGAGTAGGAGAAGCGTATGTGAAAGAAGGGGCAGAAATTATATAAATATTCTGAGCCATGTATACGCAGGTTAAAATCTCGGTTATAGATGTATACCAAAAATATATGAAGATCAAAGAACTTTTTCGAATATCAGGTCGAAAATCATAATAATTACCATTCCTCGATCGTCTATATTCTGACATTAAGAATTTTTACTAATTTTTACCATCAAAATATTAAATTCAAACATGCAAAAGAAGATAACATCCTATAAAGAACGTAAAAGTATTTATCTTGTTAAGAAATGATTTAAGACGATTAATAGAAGAGAAACAGAAAGGAAAATCACTGTTTCCATTAAAACGCGTGTCGTATGACGTAATCTTGCGATGATGACAAATATATAATTGTTAAATCATGTTTTTCGACGATCGTACTTTAAAGTATAAGTTAGTCAGCTAAGTCTCCAAATACTACTATTACTACTATTATTATTACTACTACTACTACTATTACTACTACTACTACTACACTACTACTATTACTACTACTATTAAACATTTCGACATTATGAGAAAAGTGAAACTATTATCCTCGATATATTCATGCGCGAAACTTCTTTAGCATTTAGTAAGTGAGGAAGTATGAAAGTGTATATCGTATAAAACTCGCGTGTAATAGAAGGCGACTATTAATTAAAAAACGTTAGTCTTTTTCATGATTACGTTGCGCGTTGATAACCATCTTATACGCGTTCAAACAAATATTGTTGACAATGATCGGTTATCGAATATAACCGAATTACAAAATGTAGTGAAAATGGAGTAAAGAAGTAAAAATCATAAAATGACATAATACCGTTTCTAGGGCTAAGGGTTTTCAACGCTAATCGGATTAGAGTGATACCCGACATTTTTGAATGGTTAAGAGAACGTGTAGTAGACGGGTATTAGTCCTTAAGTGCAGCTTAGGATTCTTACCGTTTTAGGTTACTACTTTATATAAAGCGTTTTTACGCATTTCTTTCTTTTTTGTCGGACAAAAGTAAGAACATCGACCGATTCACTGATAATAGTAATATAAAAAAATAAAAAAAAATAAAAAGAAAAAAAGAAAGATGTATAGAATAATTACATACAGCACAAGCTTTTTAAAATCAAGTACTATTGTGACTTGTTTTTTGGGAACGTGAAGAATTTAACAGCCAAGAAAGGAATACACACCTTTAAATATTTCTTTTGTTTTCCTCTCGTTAAAGAACTAGACCAGAGAGAAGGTATACACGGTTCAGGAATACGAATTTCGACTGATTCAACTGCACAAACGCGAGAAGCTTAAATAGGCACACCCTCGAAATATGTCTTCAACGCCTACGGATGAGAGAGAAAAGAAGAGAAATGAGATCCGAATTTTCGGATACTCCCACAATATTTACGTCACATTTACTGACTACTCTCATCCAGAAATACCATCCGATGAACGTATGTAAATGCGAGGAGGGGAAGATTTTCTAAGAATGCGTAATTCAAAGCTGTGATTCAGTGTTTTGGATAATTTTGGCATGTTGCACATGTGTAGGGAACCTTTCCGTTTGCTTTTCAAACTTTAAGGAGACATTGCATCGCTGTAAGTCTCTTTATCTAGAGAAATATTTTCCTTCTAATAAAGCAAACTTTCATTAAAATTACAAATTTTCGAGTTTTCCTTCGGGAAATATATATTTACTAGAAAAACCATACACGTACACACATACACATACAATGTTATTACGTCCTGATAATTATTCAATGTCAGCCTTCAATGTTATACGTCATGATCACTGCTGCAATCGCCGTTCACTTATCCTCCAAATGTCATTAGGAATGCGATTCGTTCCGATCGTACCTGCTGGTGAGGAGTTCCATGCCTCTAACAAATGAACGTGTACATGACGATTAGAGGATAATTTCACTCGATCGTGCGTTAAACATAGAGAGGGGGGAGATTGCCCTTTTTCATTTTTCACGTATACAAAGAGTATCGAAGTTGGAGAATATTCAAATGTATTTTTGGCAACATTCGAGAATTATTTTCACGAACTTCTCGTTGTTAACTTGCTTTTTCGTTCGAGACGAACTGGATAACTCGATGAAAGAATAATCTTCCAATGTATTTATAACTCCTTGTAATTCCTCCCCTCAATATTGAGAAAGAATCTCCATGCCGAATGTAATGTATATTAACGTGCAGATTTTAAATAAGAGCACTTTATTAACATTATTAACGTTTTTACTCAAAAGAGTAATAAAAAAAAATGAAAGTGAAAAAAATCGGTGAGATTCGAGTTTTCAACTTCGATTCTTGCCACAAAAAAAAAAAGAAAAAAATGATTCATTTAGAATATATGTTTTTAAATATCGAGGACGGTCTATGTATGAATTATAGTCTCATTATAATTGATAGTGTATATTGTTATTTATCTAAGGTACGTGTTATTTGGCGAATTTCTTCTTACTTAACAAACAAAGTAATACTAAGATATATTGGTAATCTCTTAATTAATCTGTAATTAATTATATGTTTTAATTATATATCTTACTATCTCATCGTAACGAAAATTCGATGATGATATTTCAACTATCATCATGATTTGCAAGCTAATAATTTAACTAAGATGACACATAATAATGTATTAATATAATGCCTCCTTATTCAATTCACACAAATAAATAGACAATTACGAAAAAAAAAAAAAAAAAAAAA